TTTTCTCTATTTTGTATCATTAATATTCAACTACAAAAGTGAATAGTATTACATTGGTTTCCATGCAAAAGGCACTCAGGGCTTAGTGGGGGATGCAACAATTAGGGGCCTGGGGCATGAAGACAGGACAAGGCCAAGAGTGTGTGCACTAGTCACCTCCAACCCTCATTGTCCTCCCTTCCCTGACCTTATGAATTGCATCAGGGGCTCTTCTGCTTGGACTTCTAGCTGGCTTTGATCCAGAGAAGCTTTAGTAAGAACCTGAGCACTGGAGATGGAGAGAGGCAAGGCTGTCTCTGCCCCCTCCCTGTGGGGCTGTGCTTTCTTCAGTAGGATCTTGACCCCCCATGGGAGAAGTCCACTTCCATGACTACAGCAGCTTCTGCTTGGGGGTAGTGAACTTATCCTACTCACATTAAATTCTCTTCCGTTCACTTCCTTACCCTGAGCAAAGTGGGTGTGAGTGTAGGTTACCTCCAGAGGCTCCTCATCTGCATCCCTGTTATGGTTTAAAATTGTGTCAACTCAAATGTATATATTGATGATCTAACTCCCAGGATCTCAGAATGCAACCTCACTTAGAAATGTAGTCTTTATAGTGGCAATGAAATTAATATAAGGTCATCCTATAAAACTAAGCCTTAATCAAGTGTGACTGACATCCCTATAAGGAGTGTCATGTGTGACAATGTGAAGACATGTAGGGTGCAATCATCTGCCAGCCAAGGAAAGGGGCTTGCAGCAGCCTGTTCTTCATACCCTCAGAAGGAGACAGCTTTGCCCACTTTCATTTTGGAATTGACTGTGAGATGGTGAATTTCTCTTGTTTGAACCACACAGTCTGTGGGACCTCATTTTAGAAAACTAATATATGCCTCAAGAAAAGCTTCCTGTAAAAGGACAAGGGACAAGAGATGCTAATAGACCCCTGGAGAAGAATGTTGTGGCTATAGATTTCCTGTGAATATGACAACCAGGGGGCCATCCTTCACTCCTGTGGCTTAAAATAAAGAACACACACACACACACACACACACACACACACACACACATGGGTGCCCCAGCACTGTTGTGGAGGTCAGAGGACTACTCTTGGACTATCTTGGACTTCTTTTGGAAGCTGGTCTTCTCTTTGTATCATGTGAGTCCCAGAAATCAAACTTGTGTACTCCATCTTGGCAGCAGTTACCTTTGCTGCTGGGCTGCCTCACCAGTCCTGGCCCAGAAACTTCTGCCACTCACACTTGGCTTGATTGAGGGAGGAAGCTGGTGTCTGAGCTGGCCACTTAAAATCTCTGTGAGAGCAACTGGAAGTTTTAGGCAAGGGATAAGTCTGGATATATTTATGCTTGGTGGGAGCCTGAGGCCAGAGTGTAGTCGAGAACAGAGATGCAGATTGGGGAGCTACAGGCCTGGGTCTGTTGGCAGATGACTTTTGGGACAGGTTATGACATTGCCTGGGCACTGACAGCATTCTGCCAATTGGTGCTGTCAACCACTGTGTCCCTCTCCAGTGGGGAGTGAAGTGCAGTCTGTGGCATTCCTCATAACAGATGGGCCCCTGTGTGGAGCTGTGCAAGGCAGGGGGCTGAGTTATGGATCTGAGCTGTGAACTGAGCAGAAGGCTGGCAGTCCAGGAGGTCTTATGGGATATGCTCAGATGGCTCCTTCTAGCATCGGGGAGGGTGGTGGAAGCAAGAAACAAAGTTGTTTAATGTGCAAAATCATTAAGAAAAATAATGCTTTCGCTCCAGGGTGTTCAGAGCCCCTAAACAGCTGCTAATTAGCTTGCTGCAGTAGCCAGCCCAGGCTGTGATGGGGTGAGGCTGGCTCTGGGCTGGGGACTCTTCAGCCTCTTCCTTTCTTTATGCTCTGACCTCTTGCCTCTGCCCACAGCCACCTGATGCCTCTACTTCATACATTTATACATAAGAATCCCAGAGATCTGGGTCAGTTTCTGGTTCCCATACGCAGGTGATGAGGAACCAAGGGGCCATCCCAGGTTCTCTGCTCTTTCTGGCATCTGGGCACAGGGAGAGGGTGAGTGGGTGACCCAGGAGGGAGAGCATACACTGTCTCCATGGTTTGCAATGGGAGTTGTTCCCTGAGATGCTATTCAAAGTTGTAGGGAGTGGGTTGATGTTGGGGTGCATTTGATAAGAGGGCAAGGATGTGGGACTTTTGTGGGGCGGCCTATGGATGTGGGGGCAGGTGCCTCTGGGGGGTGAGTAGCACAGATACTGTTTTCTGGGGGGGGGGCAATAGATACAGATATTGACATCTTGGTGAACTCTGGGTGTAGATTGGCATAGATATTGGTATTGGCATAGGTACTGGTGACAGTAACGAGTATCAGGTTGTCAATGGGTCAAATAACAACAGCCAGAACTTTCTAGCACTTTCTATAGATATATCATAGATCTAAGAATTTCACATTTATTTAATTTTTATCACTAAACCATGAAAGATATTCTACTAGTACCTCCGTGTGTGTGTGTGTGTGTGTGTGTACATCTATTCATGCTGCAGTGGTGGTCAGTTTAGGGTGGTGTTCCTTATTTGCTGCTGACCTTGTTTTTTAAGCCAACATCTCTCATTGAGACATCAGGGCTTGCCAAGTTGGCCAGGTTGGTTGGCTAAAGAGCCTAAGGGATCAGCCTGCTCTGGCCTACACCCACTCCTCCCCTCAGCCCCATGAGCACTGGGATAACAAGGGCTCACTGCTTAGACTATGAGAATCAAATTTAGGTTCTCCTGCTTGTGTGGCAAAGCACATTGCCAACTGAATTACCCCCAACCCCCACCAGCCCTAGTGTCCCTATGTCTTTAAGAAAATTCAAGAGAAGTCAGGCAGTTGTGAAGGTCATCCAACTAGTAAGGGCCAGGACTGGAACTTGAACCTAGGCTGTCTGGCTCAAAGTCTGCTCTTTAAATCTTGGCTGTCTACTTAATGAGGCTGAGAATCATCACAAAAACATATCTCTGGGTGTGTCTATGAGAGATTCTAGAAAGGCATGAGATGGGAAGATCCACCCTGAACATGGGCTGGCGTCCCTGACTACAGAAAAAAGGAGAAAAGGGGCTGAACACAGGCATTCATCTTCCTCTGTTTTATTTTTGTTGGTGGCGTTTGTTTTTGAGATGACATTACTTTGTAGCCTTAGCTGGTCTAGATCTCACTACATAGACCAGGCTGGCCCCCAACTCATAAAAATCCACCTGCATCTGCCTCCTGAGCTATGAGATAAAAGGTGTGCTCTACCACAACTAGCTTATCTCTGCTTCTTGACTGTGGTATAGATGGAAACAGGCAGGCTGGGGCTAGGGCAGAGGGTAGAGGACAGATTGGAGCATCTAGGGATGGGTGCCAGTGGGAATGAGCATAAGGGTGACTAGGTTAGAGAGGTGAGTATGAGGAAGAGAATGTGGGAGCCAGAACTTCAGGATCATGGAAGAGGCAGTGCCCACAGCCCTATAGGTGTCTCTTCCTGGGGAAACCTAGTTCTATCTTTGTACCTCCTGAGTGGTGACCAGCAAGTATGGCCAGTTTGGCAGATGTTTTCTCATTATCTGCCAGATCCCAGGGGACTCTTTGGAAAGCTAAGTGTACACTTCCAGGAGAGCCTTGACAGTGGCCTAGGAAAGTCCTATGGGCCCTCTAAGTGATTCCTGTGCTGGATTGGGTTCTGGGGATAAAAAAGTGGCCCAAGCAATAGACCTCTCATCCCCACCCTGGGATTTCTTAGGACAGGGGTTTTCCCAGTCAAATTTTCTACAAATGACTGGTGCTAAACAGGTCACTGCTTAGACTGAAGGCCTCTTAGAAAGAGGGCCCAGGTAAAAGGAGGAGGTGGGGTGAGTGTGGCTGACCCTGTCCTCAAAGGGCTGAGCCTTAGGACTGGAGAATTGAAATGGTGTTAAGGGAGAGGTCCCAAACTATAAAAACAGGAGTCCTCAAGCAGAGACAGGGCTTTTAGGACTAAGACCAGAATGGATAGAAGGATGCTGTTGGAGGGAATGAGACTTCATAAACAGACTCCAAGGAAGAGACTCCATTCTAGGGCCTGTTGGTCTCCCAAGCTGAGCCCAGCAGGCTGACATGGAGCCATGACTAAGTGAGGCATGCCTTATGGATGGCATTGTGCTCTGAGACCAGTTACGATCCTGTCCCTAGCACTGTAGAACCTGACCTTATTCAGTAATAGAGTCGTGTTTATAGAGTTCATCAGATTTAAAACTTAAATTGCTCCCTCTCCATCAATAGAAGGCTGACATCCTAATAAAGAGGGGAGAGACAGACATGTACAAAGGTAGATGATGTGAAGCAAAGAGGGGCATCTGCTTGCTCAGCAACAATCGAGTCTTCAGAATCTGGGAGAGGGGCACAGAGCACACTCCCTCTCAACCTTCATTTTGGACCCCAGGCTCCAGAATGGTGTCATGCTATTTGTCTGTTAAGCCACCCCAGTGAATGGCGCTGTGTTACAGCCATTGCATCCCAATTTAAGGAAAGAGCAAACAGGCATCAGCAACTGGACACAGCCAAGAACGTGCCACAAATGAGGGACAGTGGATAGCTTGGAGAGGTGAAGGAGGTGACTTGGTGACTTCAGGAGAGGGTGGTGTAGACTACAGTCTGTCAGCAGATGACACTCGGGACTCAGGTGACATCTTCTCGGGAGGCACTTGCCCAGAGCACCAGCTCAGATGGAGGGGGCAGGGAAGGACCTGGCCTCAGGGAGGCAGCCTGAGGACCCAGTGCCCAACTCTGAGTTGGCCCTTACACAGCCAGCTGGCACCCCAAGCCCTCAAGCTCTTCATGGCTTTAAAGTTGTCTTTATCAGTGATGTGAAGAGGAAAGAGCAATTGTGTTCAGCTACCAGACTCCAGCTCCAGAGGAGCCAGGCGTGGCTCACTCAGGGGCACCAAATGACTGCAAAACTCTTTCTTAATCAATCATATTTTATTCCCAGTTATAAATATTTTCCATTTGTCCCATATTTACAATTGAAAATAGTTCAGGATATTATACCCTCACCCACCTTTCTGCATCTCTCTATAAATGCCATGAAAATTGATAGGAAATAAAAAGCTCTTTTGTGTGGGAGGCCACCCACCTGGCTCCCCCTCTCAGACTCCAGACAACCCCACATGACAGCAGGCCATGTTGCAGCTGATGCTACACAGTAGCAAGGCAGTGGCTGATGGTGTCGTGGGAGGGTCAGGACACCAGGCTCCTTAGGACATTGGTGATAGTCCAGTGTTGTCCTGAGCACTTCTGCAGCACCAGCTGGAAACCGAACTCCATGTCACTGTTTTCTTGCAGCTCCAGGCAGCGTTTGGACTTGCGGTTCTGGATGGAGCCTCCCTGGGAGCCAGACAGAAAGAGTGTCAGAAGGCACAGAGGTAGCCAGGCAGATCCAAGGAGCCCCATGCTTTGGGAGTAGCTGGGACAATCTAGATGGCTTGGGAACCAGCATTCCCATGACCCCAGGCTCCCTCTGCTCCTGCATAGTGATCTTCTCCCAAGGATGGATGCATGCCTCAGGTTCCCCATAGGGCCCTCATTCTTGGTAGGGGCAAGGTCCTGTCTATCATTCTGGGCTGTGGCACACTGCTTTGCTCCTATAGCTAGTTCTTAGTCAGCGAGGACCCTGCTCTGAGAAGCCTCATTTTGTGAACCTCTACATAATCAACCTGCATCTGAGCATCCTCACATTGGGGACTTCTTGCTCCTAAGGTCCTTCCACAGGTGAAAGCTGTTAGTGCTGGGCTCAAGGAAACTCAAGATCTTGGATATTGTCTGTTTGGCCATTAGACTCTCAGTCCTGGGCATACATAGTTCTCCCATGCAAATGATGTTCTGGAAGGGTTTGCAGCCACAAATACTCAGTTTATGTCCAGAAGCCCCTGAAGGAAGCAGTGTTCCCCAAAGCACCTGTAAGACAGGTTAGGTGAGATCCTGAAGGGGTCGGTCCCCCAGGACCACTGGCTGTGAGCCTGGGATGTCTGAGGATCTGCCATCATCTAGGTTGTGTTCAGCTGGACCTGGAGGAGTTTAAGCAGTCTGAGTTGCTTGAATAATGATGATCCTAAGAGTAGGCACTGAGTATCTATTAGACTTGCCTAGCACAAGAACCTGCTCCTCCTGTGATCCCCTTCTTGGCAGTAACTGGGTGCTTGTGGGGAAAACTCAAGCAATTTCACATAGTCATCTAGTTCATCAGTCAGGTACCAAGTGCTGTCAATTCTCCTTCCCTCCTGCCTTGTGACTGTCCCAAACCCCTCTTCCACCATGTTTGCCTGCTTTGGAGCCCTGACATCTTTTACCTGAACAACTTCTTCAGAATCCTAATGAGCAGTGACCATGTTGACATGCATGGTCAGCCTAGAAAACACCCCAATGCAAAGGCCTTCACAGTTCAGGGCTGCTTCTCACTCAAGCCTCACCTCTGAGCCCTCCCCAGCTCTATACTCCAACTCCTTTCAGGTTTCTGTCCTATTCTCAGTGCCCAGTCCTCTTCTCTATAGTTCTGTGGCAGCCTAAACCTAGCCACTCTCCACTTTTCCAGGATTCCAGCCACCTCCTCCAGGCACCCAGCTGGTATGGTGGTCATCATCCTGCACCTTCTCCAGCTCATGCCAGGAAGTTCACTGTGTGAGGGAGAGATGGCAAGCCTCTCCAGTAGGGAGCTCACTCTGAGGTGGCCACAACCATGCCCATGGCAACTAACTGCTGATCTCTCCAGAGAGCATGAAGACACAATTCTCAGATCTACCTAGTATCTACTATAGTATGTATCATGTGGCCCTGGTGACCTAACAATTCCATGTCTAGACTGACATGAAACTGGAACATATGCAGGAAAGACATGTACTTAAAGGCTTTCTGAAACATGATATAAATTCTCCAAGCTGGGAACACTCAAACATCATCAAGAATAGACTGGACAAATAACTCACAGTCTATTTATATAACGGGATACTATATGGCAATGAAAACTAGACTAAATCTCACAAGCACAATGCTGAGCTAAAGAAGCCAGGCAAAAGAATACATATCATTCTGTTTGACAAGCTTCCCACTGGGGTAATTAAAACAGAGATCTTAAAGTCATATGGTAGTAACAGATGGGGATAAAGAGTATAAAGACAGCAAGAGGTGAAGGGGCATTCATTTCCTGACCTGGATGTTAGCTTTGCTTTTAATCATTTAGTTGAACATGTATTTTGTATGTTTTTCTGTATGTGTGTTAATTTTCAGTTAGAAAAAAAGTGTTACATGGCTGGAGAGATGGCTTAGCAGTTAAGAGCACCGGCTAATCTTCCAGAGGGCCTGGGTCCCATTCCCAGCACCCACATGGTGTCTATAACTCCAGGTCCAAGGGATCAGATGCCCTCTTCTGGCCTCTGCAAGCCCCACACTTGCATGTGGTATACATACATAAATGCAGGCAAAACTTGTATACACAAACTAAAAAGAAACAAAGATCAAGATTCTAGCTCCCCTGGAAAATACTTTTATGGAGCAGGTAAAGGAGGAAGGGAAGGAGAAACTGGAGGTAGAGTGCAGGGTGTGACTCTGAGTGTCCAGCAGGGGTATGGGATTGAACACTTCCTCTATTGTATAGCTGATGGCCCAGAAGATCACACAGTCCACGTTAGAAGCATCCATGTGAATAGCACCCCTCCACTGCACTCTATGCCATGCTCAGGCCCTCTTCTGGGGAGAATTCTAACTTCCTGCCGCAGCAGCAGAGAAACAACAGAAGCAAGAGGAGGAGGGTCATTGTGTTCCCCTTGTAGCACAGGGGCAGGCTTGGAGACTAGAGGAAGGATTGCTCTTCAGAACCCCCTGTTACAGGATACTTTGAAGGCCAGCCTTCTCTGTTACTTGCAGACTATATGGCCTCTGTATTCAGCCATAGGGCCTAGGCCTTCCCACTCTTCCTAGCACCTCCAGGGAGGAAGAATATCCCTTCCACAGAAAGAGCCTTTCTCCACAGTCACCGTTCTGAATGTCCTCTTCCCATGAACTAAACTCCTGTTCAGAGCATCCACCAGGGGACACACCATTCCCTCTCAGGCTTTCACTCTGGGCCTAATCTTTTCCTCCCTTTTCCCATTTATGCCCCCACTTCCATGATTCTCCATGCTCTGCTTTCCCAGTGTCTTATGTGACAGCCTTGCATTGGTTTTTCACTCTGGCTCTTTTTGGATAAGACCCAGTTAGGTCGTGTTGCTCAGAATGAGGTCATGGCAACCTCAAACTGGACAATAGGCTTCTTGGATATGGCCCAGAATCAGCACTTTGGTGGTCACACCTTTCTCCTGCACCATACTGGGATAGCCACAGAGAACACTTCAAACTGCCCTCTCAGAACTGGTGGTCTCCCTCAAGTCACCATCCTGTCCTTCAAAGATTGGACTTTGGGGGCCCCATAAGCATCTAAAAACACTTGCTCCTAGCAAGGGCAGCTCACCACACTGCCAGTCCCAATTCCCATAGCATCCGAATAAGTCTTGGGACCCTCAAACCTGAGCATATCTGTGGCCTTATGTCCAAGCTGGGCCCTACTACTGGTTCACAGTTCAAAAGTGGTCCTGTAGTCAGCCTGTCCTGGTCTCTTCACCCCCCTCACCAGACAGGCTGTTGTCTTGCTTCTGGAGGTGAGGACAGAGCAAGGCAGGAAGTCAGGACCAGTCCATGCTCTTTAAGTCCATACTCTGCCTGATTTCAGCCTGAGGCAGAGAGGGGAGGCTGCTGATCGCAGAGCTTCTCAATTATGCTTGTCAGCTGCGGGGATTGGGGTATAGGTCCCCCTCCCCCTTTTATTTGTCTTGTCAGTAGGGCTAAGGGGTGGGTGACTCTTGAGAGGATAAGCAGAAGGGCTAATGGGAGACTATTTCTCTGCAAGCTGGAAGATGCTAGCACACACAAGGGGTTGTTCAGGGTGCCTCAGCATGGGGGAGGGGTCATAGAAATGAGGCTGGACCAAGCTTCATCCATTAATGCTGGGGATTCTGGCTGCTCAGCATATCTCTGGGGCCAAAAGCAGGCTCTGCCAACAGCAAGGCTAGCTGCTTCACATCTCCCAGGCCCCTGGAACTTGGAAAACCTTGTGGAAGAGAAACAACTGCAGACCCCACCCCCTTCCTGACAGCCACTCCTTCCCTGGGCACCTTCCCAAGGCAAGAGAGTGAAGAAGGAGTAGAAGAAGGGTCTCCTTCAGAGCTGCAAGGCTAACATTTCCCAGGCCCTGCCATGCCACAACTCATGCCCTCAGCACCCCTGAGACAGGAAGTATGTGATCATGGAGGAGAAACAGCCAGTGAGGGCTTCCATAAGAGTATGGAAGAAATGGTTCAAGTCCAAGAGCAGGAATGGGGTGGGTAGAAGGGACTCCACTTGACTGACACTATCAGCTCCTTCCTGGGAGGGCTGTGTATGAGGCCAAGAGCTCTCTCCTCAGCAGAAAGAGCTTCTGAAAAAGTGAACAGTGTAAGCAGCCCCAAATGCTTCCAGGAAGCACACTTGGGGCATGGGGAGTACAACCAAGACCCTCTTTGGAGGCAGGACTAGCACCAGCCTTAGGCAATGCCGTCCTCCTCAGAACATCACCTCCAGGTCTCATAGAACAAGTGCTAGGCATTTTCCTACCACTCACCAGACTTGCAAAGGATTCTTAATTACTGCTATTCATAGCTTTCTCACACCAGGAAGCAGCCTGGTGTCCTGTCTGTGTCTTGACCTGGAGTTTCTGCACTGGAACTAACATTATTTGCCATTTTCCTGGCACCTTGCCTGATGTGTTCCCTGCCCAATTGCATGAGTTGTTTACAACACCACCCAGAGGGGGAGGCAGTAGGAGCCCTCATTATATAGCACTGGAGGCTGAGGTTCTGAGAGCCTGGGAGACCTTCCCAAGATTCCATGCAGAGCCCTGCTGAGACCCCAGAGAATCTTCCCCCTTCCCTATTATTTACTAGATAAACAGCCAACAAACCTACCATGTACCCCACCCATCACATGCCCATCTCTGAGGTAGTGGCTAGACTGAGGGAGCTGGTGGTACTCTGTACTGGGGAAGAGGAAGATGTCTCAGTGTACTAAATCAGGTTTGGTCTGTTCCCTTTGAGGGTTCTCTGAAGGGACATGATTCATGCACATGTCCTTCAAGCCACTGCCAAGTATTCAATGAGCATCTACTAAGTGCCATGCACATTTCTCAGTTTCTCCATTATATTCATGACTGAAAAAGAGAAGGTTTTGTTCTTGTGGCAACTGTGCTCTAGGAGGGAGAGTCGGCAGCAAATTGTAGAAGGAGGAGGTAATAAGGCTATGCCCCAAATCCTGGAGCTCAGGAG